AAACGTTTCGGAATTCTATCAGATTTATCTAATTTACCTTTTTTAGATATGCTCATTAACCGGAATGCTAATAGCTTTTCCACATCAGTATACCGAAAAAAGATATCCATTGGTCTCCTTACACACTTCGATAGCTGTATTCAATTTACGTATAAACGAAACCTTGTTACATGCTTACTAAACAGAGCTTACAACCTGTGCTCCACATATCTTAATCTCCACTCTGAAATTTCATTCTTACATGACATCCTGAAACGTAACTGCTATCCATAACACTTATTTATAATTAATACTCACTATCGAACTCAAAGCAGACAGTTTCATTTTATAAAAAGGGAGTTCAACAAAAATTCACAAGTTACGAGCCTTTTCATAAGGGTTACAAAATTTTAACATACGTTTAGTTCTGTAAAGTAAAACTAATTATAAATCAGTTTCTTGTCATTTGATATTTATCAAACATTTGAAACTTCTAAGCGCCATTCATGCTAAAGTAAACAGCAAAAGGTTTATTAGGAGATATACACATTTTTAGTAAGTTAGTTCTGTACTTTTATTCATATGGTGAATATATTTAGACTGTCTGTTTTATTATTGCAAAATGAGAACTCTATAAGCATTCTTCATGGACACCTTTCAACACAGTCCAACACCAACATATTGATTTGTAGCTCTTCATAAAGACCACGGTTACATCTCTCTTATCAATATTCTTAAGTCTTCCTTCTGGACTATAGGTAATGCGGTTGTGGATAAGATTCAAGTCTATTCTAACACCAACAAATCAAACTTTTTCTTAGTGTAAAGTGTGTTTTAGTATCATGATGATGTTGACAAAAGCAACGGAAATGGAAGGAATGGTATTCTTAAGGCCATTTGTTTCACCAAACAATTTTTAAAAACCTTTAAATATTTAATATCATTCTTTAAAAATTTTGAATCAAAAATGATTGTTTTTTTTGTTTTTTTTTATTTATTAAGCACCACGCTACATAATGCGCTATATGTGCTATGCACACTGTGGGTTTCAGAACCTGATTTTTAACGTTTTGAGCCTTCAGACTTACCGCTAAGGGTTTGCATTCAGAAATATATTCATATATTTTTGTGCACATTGTACTGCAAGACTCAATATTCTATACAAAGGATTATGCATTCAGCTGTCGACATGATGACAACCTGTATACATCACACAATAATCCCTTTAAATATCGCCACCCCCTCAGTGGCACAGAGGTATGTCTGCGGACTTACGACGCTAGAATCAGGGTTTCGATACCCGTGTTAAGCAGAGCACAAATAGCCCACTGTGTAGTTTTGTGCTTAATTACAAACCCTTTAAATATCAGCATGTACATGCCTTAATTTCATGACAGTGGAGCACTTTCCAGAAACTTAACGTCTTCTTGCATCATAAAAAAATTAGTATTCACTCCTTAAAATATTCATATCAGTTTATATTGCGAGAAAAATGCATAATTTTAACCAATAAAGTCCACTACTTTCGTATTATAATAACCCTCATTATGCTTGTTCAGTCTAAAAAAACAAACTATTTAAGGATGCTTGAACATTTTTGTCATTAGCTGAAATTAAAGGCACAATTACCAACAAATCATTAGTTTCTGATAAAACAGTTTCTAATACAGCTTTGCTTACAATTCTAGAAATTTAAAACAATACAAAATATTTGGAAAATATCTTTTACTTGCGAAAACATACAGATCATTACTTCTAACGTTAATCTCTTATTACCATGTTGCATGTTAACATATATGAATGATATAAAGCGTCGTTTTATGTTGATTATTATTTTTTTTATGTACAGGACCAACAGTTGCCATTTTGATGCTTCTAGCAAGTTTGAATAGCTGCGTGAACCCATGGATATATTTGGCCTTCAACCATAACCTAGTTACTGCCTTGAAACATATATGTTGCCACGAAAGATCCCAGGGTTACTCTCCCCAGGTCCCCGTGGAAAACATTAATAACACTACCAGTAGAAGTTCACAGACAGACAATGAAATCTGCACTTCCTATCCACTCAGCTTGAGATGCGGTGTTCACTACACATCTTCTTTTCGCCTCAAAAAGACAAAGATAACTGGTTGTCGACCGTGTCCAAATATCCAGGATCTTCACGATGAAGCAGAGACGTTCAGTGCATAATAAAACAAGGGATGGTCGATCTGACAAACTTAGAAGAATTTAAGATACAACATGAGGGAATCCTCAATAGCCCCAGCACTGGAAAGTCTTTTTGGCAGGATTAGAGTAAATTAATCTATGAGAATTTTTTTTTCCTTTTTATTAGCTATATTTTTATGGGCAAGCAATGCTAAGCGTGGGGCGCGCGTATACCCGATTCGATTTTATTAGTCATGAGGATCTCTACCAACCTATCCTCAAGTTGAAATTTTTTTAAGCACAATTAGAGTAAATTAACCTATGAGACCTTGGGCGTGGTCAAATACACAGATCAAAAAGGTTAGACTTCCTGAGTCCAAAACTGTAATTAGATCTAAAGTCGGTCAAGAAGTGACGGAGCTATGAGCTAAAAGTTTGTACTTAAAAAACAACTACTCAGAGTTACTCTATGAACCGCTGCTCCTCAGCTAAAAACATAAAAGAGTTGCGCATGATACTGATGCGATACGACCTCAAAATGCGATTAATGAGAAGTACAGAGTCACAAAAACATCAAGTAAATACTGTCTCTTATCTATTTTCAACTGATGTGCAAAACTTTAATATTTTGTCTTTAAGCGAATTCCACACATTGAAGCATGCATGATAAATGTATATAAGTGGATTATTTTATACTTAACAGCACAGTAGGTGTGTCGCGAAGAGATCCGATGGACTTAGCTTAGTGAAATTTCAATTGATCTCATGCGTAAAATCATTTTTCTCGTATTTGATATTCGATATTAAAACAATCACAAGTTCTGTTAAGTGTATCATATGTATAGAATATATATGCGTTAATATAGCATTATCATATATATATATTCGTTTTACCTTTTAACAAGGATGGTGTGCCAAATAAACATTTTATAGGCAGTAAAGGTTTATAACGTCGGTACGGGGAACAAAGCTTTGCTCAAGACTTTAAACAGTTATGAAGTACGGTATGCTTGAAGCGTAGTTTCAATAAATCGACATTATCTATTTGGCTATTCAAATACTTTCTCTGGATTTAAACGTGCTTCAAGTGTGTGTTTTCCTTAAAGAAATATACGTAAGTTTGTATGGTGTAATTAGACAATTTAATTTATGTTAGCTGTATTCTTGATAGATTGTAAATATCGAATACGCAGGTCGATATAAAACGATAGCTGGTGAGAGTTGTAAGTTTATCTAGTATTAGCAGTATGAAAAGATATTTTAAGGTCATTTCTGACAACGTTTATCTAGTATTAGCAGTATGAAAATTATCTACTGGGTTTTGAATTATGATAAAAAGATATTTTAAGGTCATTTCTGACAACGTTTATCTAGTATTAGTAGAATGAAAATTATTTACTGCGTTGTGAATTATGATAAAAATATATTTTAAGGTCATTTCTGACAACGTTTATCTAGTATTAGTAGAATGAAAATTATTTACTGCGTTGTGAATTATGATAAAAAAGATATTTTAAGGTAATTTCTGACAACGTTTATGAGTAGCCGAATGTTATATTAAATTCTTTGTTTGTATGTACTTAAGTACAAAGCTACACAATGGGTTATCTGTGCTCTGCTCACCACGAGTATCGAAACCAGGTTTCTACCAGTGTAAGTCCACAGACATACATACCGCTGTGCTACTATGGAGCGAAGTTAAATGGGTATTGTAAGTGAAAAAATAATGATTGTGGGTTTTATTCAAACTGCGTATCTCGTATATAAGAAAGACCCAATACACTAAAATGGAAGAGGAAAAAATAAAAATTTATTATGTCTAAAATTGTTAATGTAAAACCCACAAGTTGTCAAATAATAATTTTGAATATTGTTATTAAATATGTTTGAAAGTGGTAAGTTTCATTTGTAACATCAAGTACGATTATTTGAGAATAAAAGTAAAGAAACGGATTTTTTCGCGAATCATTACAGAAAGTGAAAACGTATGGAGAACTATCTTGTATACATTGCGAACCGTGGTGTCTGTCCTAGCATTCGTCTGTTTCCCGTTTGAAAAGCTGCGCACGCAGGCAAAGCTCAACATGAATAATGTTGATACAAAATTTTATTTAGTAAGCTGGATATTCTACAATAAACTGTTAGAAATTAATCACACTATCATTCATATTTTTAAAAATGTGACGTAACTTAAAGAATAAAAATATAGTTTGACAGCATGTTATTGTTGAGCAGCTCTTAGCATGACTGAAATGCTCAACAATTACTTTTCGCGGTGGGCAGTATAAATAGTTCAGACCTTTGGCTCTGAGTAAAACCAAGAGTGCAACACAATTTACCTTTTTAAAGTCCATGAAATAGTTTCAATTGATAGATGAACTTAAACTTTTCCTTCACTGGGGACGGGTACTTTTGCTTGTTATGTTATAAATAAGAGAATGACATCGAATATTTCTGAAATATATTTCAAGGTATCCAGGCAGGACATTGCCTAGTGGTTAGATTGTGTGGACCGTGAATCCGAGGTTTCACGGTTCGTATCCCGTTGCTGCAAAAAATACACTTTGCACTTTGGGGCCGTGGGTGCTCTACAAGTGTGATTATTAAAGCCCGCTATTCCTTCTTACAAGAGTAACCCAAGTGGGTGCTGTTAAATAGTTGACTTCCCTCTAGCAGTTCAAAATTGGGGATTGTTATGCGCAGGTGCCCCTTGTGTAACTTTACGTAAAAATTCTGAAAAACAAACAAAGAAAAAAAAAGGTGATGTTGTGTATCGTTAACCCCCAGATTTATCTGAAATGTTTAACATAGATTTTAAATTTTGTTTAAATCAAAGAGCAATATTTTTTAGTTCATTGCTCATTTTCCGCTTCATATATTATTAGAAATTTCCAGTTTCTGTTACAGGGGAATCTGGTTTTATATGTTCTGAAACTGCTGTATATTTGAAATGTGGATTTTGATTACTTGTAGACATTTTTTTTTTTACATAAAGTTACTTAGTAATTCTCTCAGAACAGACATATTGATCTATTGTAAATAGTAAGAAAAAGTATGTTTTCATGTAAGAATATATATATATATATAATTTTACGTTGGACCCATAATTACGTCATTAATATTTTTACTATTGTGAATATGGTGAAGCCATCGAAATGCTTTGAATTTAGTTTCACGGAACAAAAAACCGTTCTGAATAAGCTGTAGTCTCGGTTTGTTAATTAAATTAACAGACTCTGTCTTGCATAGAAAAAGTCAATATTTGATATTTGTTTAAATTTAAAAGTAATTATAACAGGCGAGTACTGTTTGTCACAATCACTTAAGACGTGTCCTAACACTTTCATTATTTCTACTTTCAAATTGAGATTTACATGTTTGTTCCTGCTTGCAAGGAACACTTGTTGTAATCATTATAGTTTCGGTTACAGTGTAGATAACTAAGTAGTAAAACAAATATAACGTTTCAGTAGAGTTTTTTTCCTTCTAACGCTTCTGAAAATTAATGTAATTTGCACTTAAATTTCCAAATTAACCCTATCTGTATATGAGAAGCTTATCAATAACCTAATGTTGATAACTTTTCATCCAAAGCGCGTACTTAACAATATCCGGGTCACAAAAGTTCAACTGTTTATGGGTATTCTTCCAAGAAAAACAAAACATTGTATTATAGTATGAACTTCTCATTCTATATAAAACACAGACATATATATATATATATATATATATATATATTCTTATTCTTGGCTCACTGTAGACTGGTAAGAATGTCATCTTTAAGAGTTTTTAAATATCTGTATTTGGTTACCAGAATAGCTGTATGAAAGGTGTATGAATATCGAATTAAAGTAATGCTATTTTAGGAAAGGTCCCTTGGAAAACAACTTCCTGCCAAAATATCTGTCAAACTTTAAACAAAAATCAAATAAGCAAATACTTACTTACATATAATTTAGTATTTGGTTGCAAGAGATAAAAGCACCTTAAAATATTAAATCTAAATAAATAAAGTCTAGACATTTTCGAAACTGTATGTTTCTAATACGATTAATAAACTATACCTAATCGTTATTGTTGACTTTCTGTTAAATATTAAAAACTGTATGAAATTTTACCAATATTAAAAATTCTACATAGAAATATATTAAATATACATAGAAAGCTTTAACTTAGAATCAACTTACATTATTTTTTTTATATATTTCAGGCTATTATTGTCTCAGATGTAAGAATATTTATACCAGAACGTAAATAAGGTACAAATACGACATAAAAAATTGGAAGCTATATTTCACCCTGTTGAAAAAAGTTAAAAATAAAATTTTCATTTCGCATATAAAGTAGTGCAGGCCCATTTTTAGAGATTGAGGACTTGTTGAAAATAAAAATATTGAACCCATTTTACAGTTTTTTGACTGTATAATTTTTACAGATATTTCGTTATATACCAAACGAAAAGAACAAGAAAAAAACTGTAAAAATAGGGGCCTTTCAAGAAATATGCCACGCTCACTCGCAGGTTATATCCTGGAGCTTGACTTTTACAATATATAATAGGATTGAATTTTGTCTCGGAGAGACGATGGGGGAAAGAGAAGTGCAGAGACGTTCTGTTCGAAGTCCTTTGTTTCTGATTCAATTATGCTATATACAAGACCTCCACGACAGTATCTCTAAAGACATGTGCTAACTTCAGATATAGAAATACAATCACAAACTTTGATGAAGAGTTCGGTTGTTTTCATTATACTACCATTTTTGAATGAACGTTTCCAGCCAGTTTAAACTGTACAGCATGTTAGGTTTATGTATTTAATTCTCATAACTTGAATGAATATACGAAGAATGTATTCATGGAAATATGATAATACCATTATTTATGGCATTTAACAAAGATCTGCTTTGTTTAGAAAAATGACTTAGTATGAAATGAAATTTTGGAAATAGATATAAATGTATAATATGAATATTGAAGTCAAACTAACCATACCTTCAATTTCAATTAGTTCAATTTATAGACGTTAGGGTTTTAAGTTAGT